CTGCCGGAGCGGCTGGCGGGGCAAGGGGCACCGGCAGGGGTGGGGGGGCAAGGGATTGTGGGTCGAGAGTGAGGGGCCCCGTGGATGAGGGGCACCAATAGGGCTTAGGGGCGACAGGGGGCTGCGGGTCAGGAGTGAGGGACCGTCCCTCCCCCAGGGCCCTGGGGACCAGGACGGGGCTTCCTGCTTCCCCTGCTGGAAACAATGCCGCGCCCTTCCTGGCCTGGCTTGGGAATAGGGGGGCATCAGGGTGGGTCTAACCCCCTCTGCTGCTTGGTTTTTGAAGGGAAACTGAGGCAGGGGGGTGGGGCCCAGGTAAATAGGCCTGGACCTGACCGGACTCCTGGGCTAGGCAGTTTCCCAGGCCGGGGGTGGGGGGACCATGGGTTTTTTCCCCCCCGTGTCCGAGTGGCTCTGCGGAGGGGTGGGATCGGGCCTCTTCCCTCTGGGGAAGGGATCCATGCTGCCTCCTGGCACCCCCTGACCCTCCCCTGCCCCCAGGCAGGAGCAGCATGGCGGCAGGCCTGGGGGGTGCCCTGCTGCTGCTGGCATTGCTGGAGCTGAAGCTGGGGGGCACCGAGAGCTCCCCTTGGGACCTGGTGCCCCGTAAGACTGTGCCTTATGGTGGTGAGTGGGGAGGAGTCAGAGGGTGTGGGCACGGGAGGGGCTGGGTGGGACTTGCTACCTGGGGTTGGCCTCTGCTTAACAAGTCTGCTAATGGCTGGGTGAGCTGGGGCCTGGGCTCCATAACCCCCTCTGCTGCCCCAGGTCCCCCTCCTGCCCAGCTGCAGTGTCCTGGGGGGCTGGGTTCCCCCCAGGCCTAGCTGCACCACTGCTTCCCCGAGGTGACATCAGGTGTTTGTGGTAGTGCTGGTGATGAGCTCACCCTGGTTGCTGCTGGCAGCTCTCCCCCGAGCCCCCCCAGCCCCTACATCCCTTGGCCAGGCTGGAGGGGTGGCTGGGCCTCGTAGCCCTTCCTTGCTACTCCTCAGTCCTAGCCTGCGGCCCCCTGCCCCCATGGCCCTGCCAGTGCTCCTCACTCCCGACCTGTAGCCCCTGGCCCCCCTGCCTGTGCCCTGACTCCCAATTTGCAGCCCCCTGCCCTCCCCTGGACTGGGGCCTAGTGCATGCCGGGCTGGTTGCGGTCAGGGTACAGCTGTGGGGGGCAGCTGTGGCATCTCTGTTGTTGCCCCCCCCAGCACTGTGGGGTACCCTGCTGGAGGGAAAACAGGCACGGGAGCTGGCTGTAGCTCTCTCCCTGCCCCCGCCCCAGCCATCACCATCAAAGCCCCTGATTACAGCTTAGCTCTGATCCCAGCGCCCAGATGCCCAAGCCAGCAATACCGTACAGGTCTCACGTGGGGAAGGGTGTGCTGTGCCTCTGCCATGCCCCTTGGGCTCAGGTTGTGGCCAGTAACCTGACCGGGCCGGCGCTGGTTCCATGACGTGCGTGTGGCCTGGCTCCCCTTACCATCATGGAGTGGGGGAAGACGCAGGATGCCTGCGTCCCTGCCCAGCTCTGGGTCTGCCCCAGTTTTCCCTCTCACTAGTTCTGGGACTGCCTCAGTTTCCCTCCCAAAGCTCAGGGCTTGCCTCACTTCCCCCCCCCCACAGCTGCTTCTCAGCTCCACCCTGCCTCAGTTTTCCCCCTAGCTGGGGCTCCAGCAGCTCCTGTCCAGTCCCGTGGGGAAGGGAGCCCCCTCCACCCCCACTTCACGTCCCCTCTCGGCTCCTGTGACCCTGCTCAATGGGCCCTTTTTTTGCAGCCCCCAGGGGCAGGGCAGGGCCAGGCCTGCCAAGGCACTGGGGTGGGCGCTGCTTGGTCTCCAGCCCCACAAAGACTCCCTTGTGCAAGAGAGCCGGATGGTGTGGGGGAGGGGGCCGGGCTGGAGCCAACACCACCCCCCTACCCCAAGCATGTGCCTTTGAGGGGGCTGCAGGTCAGGAGTGGGGGCATGAGCAGGGGCGGGGGGAAGGAGGTGAGAGTGCTGCGGGTTGGGAGTGAGGGGCACTGGCTGGAGTAGTGGGGCAGGGCAGGGGGGCTGCGGTCAGGTGGGAGGCACTGGCAGGGCTGGGGAAGCAGGGAGTTGCAGGTCAGGAATGAGGAGCACCAGCAGGGCCAGTGAGGGGCAGGGGCTAGTCTTACTGGGCTTCCCAGTTCCTAGTTGCCATAGTGATCCTGTCCCGGTGCCAGTTCCTTCCTCCCCCTGCATCTGTGCCCAGTGCCAGGGGCTTATACCAGCTAATCCCCCCCGGGGGAAGGGGGGCAGTTAACCCTTCCCATGCCAGGCCTGTGGCTTGCTGGGCTTCCCTGGCTGGGCAGCAGTGGGCAAAGGGTTAAATCCAGGACACTAATCCCCTGGAGCCATAAAGGGCCAACACCCCCCTCAGGCCAGGTGGGGGTGGGGCCCTGCTCCTCCAGGGGGTACCAGGGGCCCATTGCTGGCTGCTGGCTGTGGGGTGCTCTTCAGCTGCCCTGACTCCCCCCCCATCCCCCCAGAGCTACCAGCTGGAGCGCGGCGCTTTGGGGGTGCAGGAATGAGCCACTTCCTGACGCTGACGCTGGACGAGGCTGAGGGGCTGCTATATGCAGGCGCCCGTGAGGCCGTCTTCGCCCTGTCCACTGCTACCCTCAACCTGCAGGCCACGGTAGGGGGGGGGAAGATAGGGTGGGGGGCACTGCAAGCTGGGAGTGAGAGGCACTGGTAGGGCT